TATTCTTATTAAAAAATATCTTATTTACTAGCTTTAAAGCTATTTCAAACTTACAATACTTAATTAATTTAAAAAGTTAATCTATAACAAAAAAGATTTCAGCAAGGAGTACATACTTTTCTATATATATATCTATTTAATATAATTTTTAGTTTATAAAAAAATTATAAACAAAATTAATATTTTTCTTTTTTTTGGGCTAAGTGCGATACACGCGAGACTTTATTAATCATTTTTATAGATTACATGGTCAACACATGAACAGTCTAGTTTAACTGACGCTACCCACCCATTTTCTACCCAAATACCAATTTACACCTCGGGGTGGGTCCATACTTAGGCTTTTTAAGGACATTTACAAGATTAATATTTTTCATTAATATACTATGCAAGAATTATATAATAAAATGCTCTTGAAAGTGCAATTTGCAAATAGTATAAGACATAAGTACCTGTTTTCAAATGGTCATTACTTTTCAATGGCTTATCTGTTTGCTGAAATCTTTGACTGTTTAGACTTATAACAAAGTAAAGAAAAAATATGGTCTAAGAATATGGTACCCTATCATAGCTTGGATAAAGTATAATTTGTAAAAATTCAAAAATTTTACCTAAAAGTTTTTATAAATATTTTTTAAAATGTATATTACTCTTTAATTATACATTATTTTACTATGTATTTTAGCTCATTTAAATTTCTATAACAAGATTAATTTTTTTTCTTAATAGTTAAAGTACAAATAACTTAATAATATTCTTCTCAAAAATATATCACAAATATAAGTATCAAATTTGCCAAAAATTGGCTTACAGATTAAGGGATAATTTTTTAATTATAATTTAAAATTTAATTATTCAATTAATAAAAACTTTATTTAATAAAAAATATAAATTATTTAAAAATTTGATTTGATTTGATTTTGTAACTTTTAATTGTTATTAATTTAATATTTATATATTGTTTATTATAAAATTAATATTAATTGAGTATGAATTATTATAAAAAAGTTTTATTAAATATTTTATTAATTTGATTTTTTTTTTTTATAATAAAAGAACATTAGATGCAAAACTTTATTAATGTATATATGTGATACACAGATTACATCAAACATCTTTACAGATTAAAATATATAAATTAATATTAACCTATCTATAATGCAAACTATCACTATTCTAATTATACTTAATATAAACCAGATAAGCTTTAATGCTGAATGGTTAATACCCTTTCAGAGTTGATACAAATTCTTGATTGTTAAGAAGACTGCTTGACTTCAAGAACTGTTTAGCTTGTAAGAGTAATAATACTATGCAGAAGATTTATATCAAGTGCAGAAGATAATATTGGTTTTCTTTTTCTTTTGCAAGTGTTGCTAATATTGTATTTGGTCCATTTAATACTTGAAGCTATTGAGGTATTGACTGTTGCCGATCTTGGAATCCATATTATGGTGTATAAGAGCTTTAGTATAGAATTTATTAGTTTGACATGTTTATTGCTTAAAAGTTAAATTCCTAGGACTATTATATTGCATGTCAATTTGTTAAGATGTGATTTACTGTTGAAACTAAAATTTGTAACATGTGATGTTGCACTTGATGAAACTTTGAAGTTGGTGCTACTGAGAAGTTTAATTATTTTTAACTTCAGTTTGGTTTTCATTTCTGTATAGGCCTCTCTGTTCTTGAAACACTCAAAGACATGGCTTTGTGTTTTTGGAATGATTAGGCACCTGGGATAAAGATTATCCTTATATATCATTGGGTATCTTTTATGAAGAAGTTGCCTTATAGAAAGCATATTGCTCAAGATTTTGCTTCTAAAGGCAAGCAGGGAGGAGTAATTATATTTGTCTTTTTTGATTAATAAGTTGTTTGCTTTGATAAAATATTGTAAGGTTGTAATGCTCAATGTTTGATTCTATCTATTTATGACTGATGTACTGTTGATAATATTAATAAATCTGAAAGCTTGCTAAGTTCTTTTAAGCCAGGTTATTAAGCTGTAGCTCCAATTATTTTTAATTTTTGGACTTGTGATATATTTATTGACTTCTATTATATTGTCAATACATATAATTGTATCACTTTCTTGCAGGTTAGGGTCGCTATTACTCTTGCAGAGTTGCAAGTTAATTTGTTTAGTATTGCAGAGGTTGTTGATACAGTCTATCGAATAATTATATGAAGTTTTAACCTTTCTGTTGGGATAGCTTGGTGAATTTAAGTTAATTACTGTTGGTAGGTTAACTGTAACATATATGGGGTTTCAATAACTGCCAATATACCTATAAGAGCTAGCAGTGTACTGATGGGTTGTTTGTTCTCGATATAAAATGTCAGCCATGCATTATTGGCTTTTACTGATATATATTTATCTTTTATTGTCAAGTTGACTGTTAGAAACATATGGTTGATATTAAGTACTTGTTTTAGGTTATTTATAATATTAGTACTAAGTTGTGGCAGGTTATTGCTTAAGTCTAGCTTGCTAATTTTGATAAAAGGTAATGAATTTAATGAAACACTGGCATGTAATTGTAAATAAATTTTTTCAAAGGAGTTGGCTAAGTAGTCTTGATTATTTTTGTAGTATGTCCAGAGAGACATCGCTAACTGCACAGGTGCTAAGATTTTCTTTGCTTTATTATGTCATTGGCATCTAATGAGAACTTTGTTTTAATTGACAAGATAATAGGCTCTTTTAACCAATGGGTTGCTGGTATTGTAATTGCATCTGATTTTAATGTAAGTTATCTAATTGTGGCATATAGTGGCCCAAAATCTGACCTTGATATTAGGTATGCATAGAGAATATTCTTGGAAGTGCACTGGGATGTTAATATCTGAAAACCAAGTTGAAACGGGCCCAGGTGGGTAGGACCTAGGTATATATTAAACTCGTACCATGTAAGCTTTCGGTTTGAGTGGTAGATTAATAAATCACTGAGAAATTTAATGTTTTTTTGGCTGAGACCAAGAGCTTGTCTCATAAAATCTCTTTTTTTAAAGGTGAAGAAAAGACCTAGAGATTGTTCACCATTAGGGTTGGTAAATTTACAGACTGATAGGCAAATTGAGACTTGATATTTTTTATAGGTGAGTGCAGCTTGGATAATCCAATTGTTATGAAATTTTTCTGAAGAATATAACAGACATAGTCAGATTGCACAACTGGCTTGCATAGATTTGATTTCCATGCTTAGAGTGGTTTTTGTTTTGTAGTTGTACAGCTTAGTGATGAGAAGCTTTAATAGTGCAGGTTTTTGCTTATCTGTTAGGTTAAGAAACTTGAGGCCAGCTTGGGAGTATATGATCTTGTCTAACATGGTCTTTCTGATTTTAAATTTTGTTTTGTTTAAGTTATTAGCTTTGACTTGAATAGTAAGAAGCTGCTGTTTGAATAAGAAAATTGAATATAGGGCATAATCGAGTTTGCTTGGGATAATCCAATCCATGACTCACAACAGAACTTTTTCCTGTTCACGTGTGATGCAGCAACCAACCCAAACAAGAAAGATGACAAGCAACCCAGAAAACAGTAAGGTTCCTAACAGACAAACAAACAGAATACTTAAGTACGAAAGAAGAACAGCCAAGGAAATAACCCACTTAGAACTCAACTGTATGCAAGAAACCCAGCACCCTAACAAAGCAACCACAATCTTCCACAACCCAAAATGATATTAAACAACTCCAAAATCCAATAATTCCATACCAAGAAGCTTTACCTACCCATCAGACAAGAAAACACATTTAAACAGAAACACAACAAAACCTTTCACTCAAACAAAGTTGGGATGAACAGGTAGCAAGTGAACAAGATAGCCAGATAGACTTGGAAACCAACAGTGGCCATATCAACCCCCAAGACCAGGAAAAACTCCTGAAAATGAAAAACAAAACCATCAGAATTGATAACACAAATACAGAGATAAACAGCGAAAGTGAAACTGAACAAGACCAACCATGGTTTACTATGCTCAAAGGAAAAAGCCAACAAGTAAACCCTAGAGAAACAAGCAAGCCAAGACCTTTCTCTCCCTTTGATAGAACAGTTAGGTATGGTAAAGAAAGATATAAGATAGGTATCACAGCAAACGAACTCACAGAAAAAACAACATACCAAAAGATTAAACAAGTCATTCTAGCACTCAACTCTTCCGAAGGATTGCTCTCAGTTCGCAGTGAAGAAAAAAATGAAGAAATGTAGATCATAGCCATTTTTGGTGATCAATAGGCAGCAGAACAAGCAACCACTATCAAATTGCCAAATGCAGACAACAAGTCTCTCCAACACATGAAATCAACAAGCCAACAAATTGAAAAAGACAAATCTATCGTGGTATGGGATATTCTTCTGAACATAAAAATTATTGAAGTAAAACAAGCTTTTGCCAAATTTGAAGCAATCACAAGAATCACAATAAAAACACAAAACCTATGGCAAAGTGTCACAATCACTTTTGAAAATGAATCAATCAAAAACAAATTAGTGGAACAAAGAAGTATACTAATTAAAGGAGATTCAGTAAGAATCAATGACACATTGTGGATACTTCCCTAAATGAAGAATAGACATAAAATTGCAGCCAAATTAGTCAACCTTCCATCCAATACAACAGCATAGGACTTGAAAAACATCCTTATGCAAAGCAAAGAACTCATATGTTATATCTCCAGAACAGCAGAACTAGCATACAAAAGAAAAAGATTTGCAGTTATCAGCTTCGCCAACAAAGATAACCTATTAAGAGCAGTACAAGACCAATATATTCTTGGAGAAACAGAAATTTATTTTATACCAATCAATACCAAACTATATACAATTTGCAATTCAGATACATATCTCACCAAAGATTGCCCATCCAAAATCAGACGCCAACAATGGAGTGACTACTATGAAGAACAAGTAGCCAAATTTGGGCTCCTATATAACAAATTCAAACCAGCAAAGACAACCAAAATCTGAAGCATGAATAATCCCAAAACAACTAACAATCAAAAATTTAGCTCCTTCGCAGATGCAGTTAAAAACCAAAAAACTATTAACCCCAATTCATCACTCAGTGAAATTGCCAAGATACTGCAACAAATCCATTAACAACTAGCAGAACTCCAAGGGAAAATATAAGAAATCGATGAAAGAATTACAAATCTAGAATACTACAACGAAGAATATTATGAAACAATAGAGACAGACTGATCAAACACCCTAAACAACAGCAACAATAGCCAAAAAGATGGCAACTCACAACAACAATCAAAGAAAAGAACCATCAAAAAAATCAGAAACCAACAAACCAATCTCTTTGTATCAGTAGACGGAATCCAAAACAGTATCAATAGACTAGTATTAACAATCAATACTATGACAGAAAACACAGAACACAACCAAACAACCATCTAATAAAAATGGATAATAACAATAGTTATAACAATGAACGAGATAATATCCCTTCAATAGCAACACAAACTGACAATCACTTAAATATTCTCTTCCAACAAATAGAAAATCAACTCACATGGTCAGATACAGATGAAACTACCAGTGAGAAAGATACAACAACCCAATCAACATTATACACCTCTAATTCACAAATAACAACAAAAGACATTTCAACTCTCCAAACTGAACATACATCAACAAACATTAACATAAATAAAAAATGGTGAATTAACACAACAAACACCAGAGGACTTAAAGCAAACCCGGGAAAACTTCAAATATGGATAGACCAGATAATCAAAGAAAGTGCTGACATAGTGGCACTAACTGAAACAAACCTCAGAAACAAAGAAGAAAAATTTATCCAAACCCCCAACTACCAAATCATATGAAGTGAAACAAGTACACAAACCAAAGGTTTTGGGGTGGCACTGCTAATTAAACAAAATCTAGCATGCCACATCTACAAAAAATACATATGGCAAGATAGAATCATCTTAGTCAACCTCCTCTTCAAACAAAAGTGCAAACTCAGAATTATAGCAATATATTTATCATCAACAAAACATCAAGTCCATCAAGAATGTACCAACGAAATAATCAAATTCACTAATCAAGCAAAAATGTCAAACAGCTACACCATCATCTTAGGAGACTTCAACTCCATTGCAGACCCCAGTGTTGACATGCCAAATTCAAAATTTCCCCAAAAAAGACAACTCCAATCCACAGGTCAGCTAATCAAATGGCTCTTCACCAACCAATATACAGATACCTTTTGGGACCTCAATCCATACAGTATACAGCACACATGAAGCAACTCTGAAAAAATTACAAGCCGAATAGATCAGATTTGGATTTTCATATTATCACTTTGGCTCCTCACAAATGCCACCATTCAAGAACAAGATAAAGAAACCTTTGAAACAGATCATAAATCAGCACAATGTACCATTTAACATTGAAACACTGATATTGAAACAACAAGCAGAATCAGATTACAACCAAACAACCAATTTCTATAGGAACATACAACTTCTGAAAAATGAAAAGACTTCAATAACAGTATCAATTCACAATTACAAACACATGGCCAGAAACAACAAATACAAAAGAAAATATAGAAAGAAAGTGGAACCTCTTTAGAGATGCGATTCTACAAGCAGTAGCCATACACATCAAAAAATATAGAGAAAAAAGAAGATCATCAAAACCACCAAAACCATCAAAACCCTTAATATTCATTGTCCACAAACTATTCAAACTATAGGCCTTCGGGCATCAGTTAAATCAAAACAAATTGATAGAATTCAAAATTGAGGAAAAAATTATCAAAATTATCAAAAAATTCAACAACAAATATGTATTTTCAGTTAATCTCCAACCAAACCATACAATATAACAAATGTTATGGCATGGATCAAAAACTTCAAAACAACAAAAAACATACAAAAACAAATCCTAAATAAAGTTTACAAGAATAAACAATGTGAAAGGGAAATTGTATGGTCACATGAGTGTATGTAATATGATCTCAAAAATGACAAATCAGAGGAAAATGAGATATCTGTAATTTATTTCTTTTCTTTGATTTCATCATTTTATTTCAGATAGTTAATATAGTTAAGAAATTAAATATAGTAGCAATAGTTTAGATAGTTGATATATTTGATATATTTGATATAATTTTTTGAAACTAGCATGTATATAAAAGCAAGAGAAAATGTCTGAATAAAATTAATTTCTAATTGTTAAACATCTAATTGCTTAACAACTATTTGTTCAAAAACAACTATTATGCAAATGTTTTGACATTTGAAGGTGAAACTGTGACTATAAAGGAATTTGGAAGAGTTTCAAGTAGTTGATAGTGTGAATACCCATTGTTACAACAGTAACTTTGGTATAGTTTGAGTAGACGAATATGTATGCTAATGAATGGAATTGAAGTTTATTTTGTAGAGAAGAGAAGAATACTCAGACCAAATTATTATGCCTCAGTCTTAAAAAAACTAAGTATTAGAAAGGACTTGGAGAACCCCCCACACATATAATAAAAATAATAATATTTTTATAATAAGTTAAAATTCTTTGTATTGTATTATTTTATGAAGTAAAATAATTACTTTTATCAAAGCACTAAGTTATTAATACTTAATAAAGTAATAATAATTATATGTCTGTTGCATTCCATAACTTATTAAGTGAACTTATGACAAATAACTTAAATAATTTCTTTATTAGCACAAAATAATAACAATACAAAGAATTTTGACTTATTGTAAAAAATATTGTTGTTTAATAAATAATATACAAAAAAATATAAATCTAGCAATGGAAAGAAAGTAGTTGAGAAAAAAAAATTGAAAATCTAAAAAGCGGCTTATTTGTTGATCTTTTTTTTTGACTTATTTTTAAAATATTTTTAAAATGCATAGATCAATTAAAATTTTTAAAATTTTTATTATAAAAATTTTTTTTTGTTTTTTAAAATAATGTTTTTTAAAAATTAGAATTATTTAATAATTTTTATATAAATATTTATTTTTATTATATAATTTAATAAAGAATTTTTTTTTCTTTCAAATAAATATCTAATTATATAAAAGCTAGAAAACCATTATTTATTAAGAACTTAAAAGTAATTGTTATAGTAATATTTTGAGTAATTTTACTTATTTGCTTATAGATAAAAAAAATATAACTTATTGTATATTGTGAAAGGGAAATTGTATGGTCACATGAGTCTATGCAATGATGATCCTAAAAATGACAAATCTGAGAAAAATGAGA